TAAAGGAGGTTCTAAGTTTGAATCCCGACAATTCTCACTCCACAATTTTATTATTATTTTTCTATAATTAATTTAAACACAAATTTATAAAACAATTTTGGTAGAACTTAACATATTTTTTTAGTTTACTTTAGTGTCTAAACGTATAATCTTTTTGTTAGGGGTTTTGGGTTCAAGTCCCCTCTCCTCCTAACTACTTTTTTTTTTGATAAGGTCGTTATTCGAACAAGTTATAAAAAAGATAATATGTATATTATTGATGAGGAGAGATCAAAATTAAAATATATTTTATAAAACCCATGTCATTTAATAATATAGAAAACATAATATTTATATGATTTTATTAAGAATATTCTTTTATTAATATAATATAAGTATAAGATAATATTTACTGAGGTTAAGTTTCTTGGTATGGAGGGCATCCCAACCCCATTGCCAAAAATGAGAGAAGAGACCCAATCTATAAAAAAATAATTAAACCCTAAACACCAACCTAAGAGGCTATGCCCACTCCCAATTCCTTTCTTTTCAAGATTTGGTGCACACATGTCTTATAGTGTTCTCCTGCCCCCACCAATCTCAAATCATACACTATTCTTGTTTTTTCTTTTCAACAGGTGTCATAAAGTGGGTTTAGTTTATTTAATTAAAAAAAATCAACGATGTGATTATTCTCTTCAAATTGCCGAATATTTTAAAAAGATTTAAACTCAAATGTTAAATTTTAATAAATATTTTTTTCTTCAATACCCAACCGTCTTTACAATAAAATAAATTAGGTTAAACTAATCATCCTTATACTAAATATTTATTATATTTAATTTAAATTTATTAATTAATAAATTAAAAAATTATAATTACAAGTTTTCACGTATATTATTTATAGTATTTAATGTGTTGAAAATTAATAAAAAAATCTTAAACAGCTCAGGAATTTAATTAATTTTTTTGAAAATGGAGGTTTATTATTTAGCAGTGAAGACACTTGTCCGGGAGGTGAGGTGATTCCCACCCCATCTTCCATCAACTGTGGAAAAAGCTTTTTCTTTTCTGCGTAAAGAAGAAATGATAAAGATGCTGAAAAGAGGAGGATAATGCTACGTGGATTTTCTTCCAATTATTCCCACACTAATGGTGATTTTTATTTTATTTTCTCTTTTAGCAAGCGGTGTTATAAATTATTATATATTTCATTAAAAACATTACTGTTTAAAAAAATTTATCTATGAAGTAAAAAAAATATAATGTATGAGATATTATAGGCGTAATACCAATATTAGTCCTCGATAGTTATTAAAATGATCACTTTAGTCTATATTATTTTTTTAACATTTAACTGCTAACATTTTAATATTTTTATCGAAATCGTCTATATTAGATAAAAATTATTATTTGATAACAATCAACATGACATGATAATTTCACGTGTGCTTCATTTGTAACATGATATATGTCACGTTATTATTTTATATGATATAACAGATATCATTAATCACTTTAGGTGATATATCACATGTTATGTCACCACTTTTAATGATGCAATACATATGTCATTACATAATTTTGAATGATGTGACACATTATGCGATATATCATGCGACGTGCCTTTAGTTAAATATATTTGAAAATATTACATCAATACATTGCATTGATCGTTAGTGAATTAATGGTTTCCATCCAACTTACATTTATAATTAATTAACTAACGGTTTTCATTCGACTTGCATTGACCGTTAAAAAACTAATTGTTTTTATTTACAATTCTTATACCATAAAATCTTATATAATTCAAATGTCATATTTTTTTTTATAAAGTCTTACATTGATCATAGAAATTAATTATAGAACTGTATAGTTAATTTTAAGAAATCATTTAATAAATTTATAAATCAAATCTCATGTTTTATAATTTGGTCTTGAATGTTAATTAGTGGGATCTTGAGGAAAAGGGGTAGTTGTTGGTGTGGCAGTTTTGGTTTTGTTGGGCCATGGACAGTTGCAATTTTTAATGGATACGTGTTGTCAACCTTATAGCCTATAACCAAGCTCATCACAACCCAAATATCAATATTGGCAATTATAAACCCCAAAACTGAACATTAGACATTGCATGCATATCGCAATCAAGAATCGACACGAAGCAATCTTTCACTTGTAAATGAAAAATCAAGAGCTAAAAATGTAAGCTCTTAAGCTGCCAAGTAAGAGTATTGCATGGCACACACGTAGCAGCAACCGTTGAATCTAAAGCCAAATGGAGTCGGTGCAGGCTACACGTGTCTGGGTAAGTCTATATGTTGACCTACCCTATATATACTCGTATTCTACCACTGTTGCTAAATAGTAGTGAAGAAGTAAAAGGGTAAAACAAAGAAGGAAAGAATGTCAGGGGCACAGGGAGCGTTGCCCAAGGAGTCGAGACGGCAACAACATATGAATCAGTGCAGGGAGGAGAGAATAAGAGCAAGACGGAGCTGAGGTCCAAGGAAGATGAGGGTGGCATTCAGGTTGATAGGCTAGAAGACAAGGTCAATGATCCTGCCGGCCAAGGTGGACCTGTCTTTGGCAATCCCCATGCCGATCATGACGGCAACCAAGATTTGGGCGTTACCGGCACAGCCTAGCTTTTGCTTTTGCTTTAGCCCATCCCCCTACCGGCTACTGCTATCTACTCATTTTTTTTAACATCTTTTATATAAATTTGAAAAATTTTACAACGCTCTAATCATCTACCAACACTAATAAGAACCACTAACGATGAGTATAAAGAAAATTCTACAACCTCGAACGATGAATGTGTATAAAAAGATTATACAACCTCGACCAGCGCTGATGTTTATCATTTAATTAATTTAATTTATAAAAATTTAAATTAGTTTATCACTTAATTATGAACACCATTAATGAAAATTTAATTTACAAAAATTTAAAATTCTAAAGATTTAATTACTTTATAGAAATTTTAAATTTGATTTTTTTTAAATTTTAAATTTTAAACGGTTTAATGTATAATTATAAATTACTTAATAAGAATTTAAAATTCTAAAGATTCAAATAATTTATATAAATTTTAAATTCGATTTATTTAAATTTAAAATTTCAAAAAAATAAAATTTTAAATTTTGAAGGGTTTAATTTATAATTATAAATTACTTAAAAATTTAAAAGGAAAATATTTATAATATAAATTATTTAAAAAATTAAAAATAAAATATTTAAAATAAAAGATAACTTAAAATTTTAAAGTTAAAATATTCAAAATATAAATTACTTAAAAATTCAAAGTTAAAAATATTTAAAATAAAAGATAAATTATACTAGTGATTACTTAATTATCATCCTATCGGATGATGACACTAATGACACAAGGTACTATTTAAGAGTTAAGTTTATTTGACGCAAGTGATATATGACATTAATAATAGGTTATTATTTGATACGGGAGTTAAATTTATTTGATATGAGAGTTAAATTTATTTGACACTAATGATACAGGGTACTATTTGATATGAAATTTAAATTTATTTTAATTTATTAAAATTAAGATCAAATTGATAGAAAATATAAATGATATTGATTACATGTATAATTATATTAAATGTTTTAATTGTTACTTCAATTTTTCTGTTAAATATATTAACGGTGATTTAATTGAATGTATTTAAATATTAATGCAAGTGGCTTAATTGAATGTATTTAGATAATTAAGTGATTAATAAAATTTTAAAAATGATGGTCAAAATAAAAAGAGATAATAGTTAGGTTGTCGTTAGTATAATTTACTCTTTATTATCATTAATAATGTTCATCGATGTTCGTCGAACGTGACAGTTCGTTTCTTCGTTAAATATTAATACAAATGGTTTAATTGAATGTATTTAATTGAATGTATTTAAATATTGATTTTTTTATGCCTACTTATCTTCACTTGTATTGTATGCTTTTTTTATGACTAAACGTATAAATAAAATTTAATTTACTATTAGAATTTTAATTATTAAAAAATTAATTCACGTGATTTTTCAAGTTAAATAAACTATCAATGTCTCATGCATACTTGTTTCATGTTTATGTTATTTTTCAAGTAAAAAATGTATTTGAAATATTAGATATTTATATACATGTTAATAATTTATTTTTATATAAATTTAATACATTTTATATATTTATACAATATTCATTTCATATTATATTTCAATTAATTTCTCACATGATTTAATTTTGATTCTAAATTTATTTATTTAAAAAATTCGAAATTCAGTTTACTTTTTATTCATTTATTTTTTTGAAAAGATTAATATTATACTTAGTATTTGTTAATTTAATATAATATTAAAAAATAATTATACTATGATAAACGCCAGCGCTTATTATCGTAAATTGTCTTACATAATTTTAAATGACAATTGAACCCTTTAAAAAATATAATAAAATTCAATGATAAAAAGAAAAGTTATTTTTTAGTTTTATCTCTTCTTTTTAAATTTTAAGAAAGATAAATTATCTAACTTATTATTTAATTCATAAATAAAATTAAAATTATATAAAAATTTTAAATCATATTTAAATGCACATGGAGAATTTTTAAGACGGATCATAATTACTTGTCGATAAAAATTTCAGAAACTCCCTTATCAGACAATTGTTGCCATCGCTGAATTAAATTCTTTGACAGCTGCTTGATCATAATCTTATGAATGATTCTTTTTTTAGGAAAGAAATAGCTTATATTCCAAAAGCATCAATGATAACAAGTTGCTTAATACATTCAGGTTCATCCAGGAAAAACCAAATCAGACTGTGGTTCGATAAGGCCCATTGAGCCAGCGTGTAAACCACTTTGTTCGCTTCACTACATACATAGTGAACTTTGAAGGATGGAAAGTCATCAAGGAGGGAACGAGCCTCATTGAGCAACAATCCTATTGTAGAGAGGTCCTAGGTCTTGTTCATGGATGAATTAGCCAATATGTTTACCACCGAGATAACATATCCTTCTATTAACACTTTGTTCCATCCATTCTCGGCAGAAGTCTAATTGCCTGTGTAAACGCATAAGCTTCTGTGGATTCAACCGTATCAGGAGGATCAATCTGAGTAGTCATTCCTCCAAGGGCCATACCGTTCGAATCTCGAACCACAACGCCTATATCGACCTTATGGGATTTGTGATAAAATGCCCCGTCCACATTGATCTTAATCAACCCCTGCGCCAGCTTACACCACTTGCGAATTCGACGGGGAGGGGTCTCTCTGCTAAGGCAAGCGAACAGATTAGAAACTTGTTTAAACTCACTCAGAAGGTTCCAAGCCTTTAAAATGACATTTATGTCTGGTTGAAGCTCTGTGTTATTGATCCATTTATTCCTACGATTCCAAACATTCCAAAGCAACATGAGGAATAGATCAAATCCTTCTCGGTTTAGCTTGGGGAGCGTGGATTTTAACCAATCCAAACAGGAGATCCCTTCCCAATCGACAATAACTTGAGGTAGACCCGACAGACTGAAGATAGGTTTCAACTTAGGGCAATTCTTAATCGCGTGCAGAGCCGATTCCAACGAGGCATTACACATGCTACAAATCCATCCCCAAGTCTGCCCTGCTTGAGTTTTTCCCCAATAGGAAGATCTTCATGAAAAAGTCTCCAGCCAAAGACTCTAATCTTAGGGAGAACGTTTGCCTCAGCAATAACATTCCATATTTTCTCCGAGACCAAAGTCGAGCTGTTTTGAATCTTCAACCAATTGTAACCTGACTTGGCCGAGTAGGAACCTGAGCTATGGTGGCACCAAAGAATTTTGTCCCCATGGGTGGGTGCAATCAACGTCTTTAGAACCTGAGTTGCATCTTCCCTTGACAGCACCTATCGGACTTTATTCTCATCCCATCTGGGATAGTCAGGAAGCATAAAATACGCCACCCTAATAGGAACAACACTACTATCCATGTATCTTTCATTCCACTTGAGAGGGCCTGAGTCCCCCCATTTGTCTAGGAATATCCGTGTTGAGCTGTTCATCCCCACTCTCCAAAAAAAGCCTTCAATCAGTGCATCCTTAGCCTTAATAATGCTTGCCCACGCATAAGAATACATGTCCCCAAGTCTGGCTTCAAGAAAGTTTGAACGAGGGAAATACTTGGCCTTGAGAACCTTAAAGGCTAGTGACTCCTCGTCATTAATGAGTCTCCAAACTTAATTGCCCATGAGGGCAATATTAAACATCTTGAGGTCCCTAAAACCTATCCCAACCAATTTTTTTGGACCGGTAAACCTTATCCCAAGCAAGCATAGCCCAACCTCTAGCATCCTGCTTGCCCGACCACCAATACGACCTCGCTTGGGTCTTAATATCCTCAATAACACCTTTTGACAACAGGTAGCAGGACATGGCATACGCTGGAAGCGCTTGAACCATAGACTTGATAAAAATTTCTCAGCCTCCGAATGATAAAAGTCTTTTTGTCCACCCTTTAATTCTTTTAGCAGTCCTATCTTTGATGAAGTTAAAGGCGGCCCTCTTACCTTTTCCCACTGCAAGTGGCAAACCAAGGTAATTTCCAAGATCCTGAGCTTTCTCTACTCCTAGTAAATTGAGGAAAATTGTACGATCAAAGATTGGAGTATTAGGGCTGAAGTAGATGTTGGATATCTCAAAATTGACCTTCTGTCTTGACACCCTTTCATAATTCAATAGGATGCTTTTGTTTTTCCTCAGTTCCTCAACGGAGTTCTTCATAAAAAGGATGTTATCATCTGCATAGAGGTGGGAGATTCTTGGTCCTCGAAAGCTAGCTCGAAAACCTTTGATATCATTTCTCATTTTTGCCTCAAGAAGCAAAGTTGAAAGTCCCTGTGCGTAAAATAAGAACAAATATGGGGAGAAAGGGTCACCCTGCCGGAGTCCCCTTTCCGCGGTGAAGGGATCTGACAAAGCACCGTTCAACCTAATTTGGAAGGAAACAGAGCTAATAAAATTACGGATGAGGTTAACAAAGGATTCATTAAACCCCATTCTAATCGTAACATTTAGCACAAAATCCCATTCGACCCTATCATAAGCTTTCTCCATATCAAGCTTAATAGTCACCCCCTTATTTGGGCCATTTTTTGAACCTTTAAGATAATAAATCAACTCGTGAGCAACTAGAAAGTTGTTCGAGATACACCTAACCTGCACAAATATACATTGGTTTTCAACAATGCAAATAGACATAAAAGGATTTAAATGATTAACAATAACTTTCGACACCACCTTATAGATGACTGTACAAAGGCTATTCGGTCTGAAATTTTTCATTAAAATTGGACTGTTTGTTTTTGGAACAAGCACTATTATAGTGCAATTAACATCAGCACAGTTCATATTACCATTCAGTAAGTCAAGACAAAGACAAACAAAATCATGGCCAACAACATTCCAAAAACAACTGTAAAAATGACCAGACAAACCATTAATACCAGGGGCTTTAAAAGGGTTTACTTGGGAAAAGGCATGGATAACTTCCTCGGAGATGAACTTGCAACAGAGCAATTCATTGTCCATTGGCATTACACAACGATCAATGGCCTGCAAAATCTCCTCATCGGGCTCGGCTCCTGAAGACTGGAAGAGAGAGGTGAAGTACTTTGTGGCCACATCAAAGATGTCATCCAACTGGTCGCACCATAATCCTTCCTCACTCTCAATACCTTCTATCCAGTTTTTCTTTCCCCTTCCATTATCTCTAGTATGAAAGAAAGTAGTGTACCTATCTCCGTCCTTTAACCATGCAACCTTTGATCTCTGCAACCAATAAGCCTCATCCTTGTCGATAATCTCTTTCAGTTCAGCTATGGCCTGACAACGCTGCTCGCAAACAAGGTCTAAAATCGGAGCTGAATCCAATTGAAGAATTTGGTCTCTAAGTCGCCATTTGTCTCTCTTCACCTGCGACCGTCTCATCTTTTGCCACCTTCCGAGTTTATCTCATGCCTTCTTAATCTTACACAAGAATGAATCATCCTGGTTCTCCCAAATCGATCTGACAATGTTAGTACATTGCTCCTCTTTCGCCCAACAAACATCAAACTTGAAGTAATCAGCTCTAGGTGGCCGAGAGGGAGCAACACTTTCCAAACACAAGAAAAGAGCACAAGAGGTCGGGACTGTAGTCACTGAGCAATCGGGAAACATAAGCCTCCAAAGATTGGTGGCCGCAAATATATCGATGTGTTCCTTAACAAAAGTTCGAGCCTTGGTTCCACCCGACCGTGTAAACCATCCTTCCCTAGGTCGGATGTCCCATAGATTCGCATCCCGAAGATAACTTTGAAAGTCATTCATGTGAACATTAGACTGTCTTTTTCCTCCCTCATTCTTTGAAGCATGCAATATCTCATTGAAATACCCTCTTTTACACCATGGCAGTGAAGAAGAGGATGTCAGATTTGCAATAGTTTCCCAGTTCCTTCTTTTGTCCTCCCAAGCGCTCCAACTATAAAACCTCGTGAACCTGAAGTGGTACTCTTTCCAGTTTACCTACACATCAATGTGAAGGTTAGAAAAACTTCTCAACGAGACATTAATGCCTTCATTCCATAGCAGCAAAAGCCCAACACAATCATCCAATCTATCCACCGATAAACAACCATGCATCCTAGTAGTGAGTCTGATCGACTCCACCTTATTCTTCCGAATCTTAGTTTCCGACACAAAGACAATCAGAGGATCTTTTTCGAAGATGAGTCTCTGTAGCTCCTGAACTGTCGATGGGTTCCCAAGCCCTCGACAGTTCCAGCATAAAGCGATCATGGAGATCGGCGGGGCTGCACCTCAGCCACCGCCGTAAGAAACACATCCTCCGACTGCTCACTTGCGAGTTTGTTGGGGTCTTCTTCCTCGCTAGTTCTAGCACGTGAGTTCATCGTGGACATGGTAGTATTCAGATCTTGCCTATGAATTTTCTTGTACTTCTTTTTGCCTTTTCCATTATCTCATCCCTTACGTTTGCCCTAACTTAAAGAGCCAACTTCTGCTTGAACACTCGGATTTGCATTCTGAAAATTTTCCTATTCTCTTGCCGAATCTCTTGCAGAATCTCTAGCAACACAAACATGCAGTGGAAACCTGTCAAAGTCAGTCGAGTGGATCTCATCTTCGGGGTTAGAGTTGGATGATTAAAGAAGGTCTCGTCCCGGGATCCAAGGTCTGCCTCTAACGTTCCTCCGAAGTCTACCCGAAGCCGGGCTATTTTCCTCTTGAGTGATGGAGTTGTTGGATGAGTCGCTGTCGACATACACCACCCCTTCACGCCTCGTACGACTGCTTTCTGCCGTAGATGTTGTTGAAGCAACCCAGATCCAGTCCCCATATTAGAGGGGCTCCTAAGAAGATAATTGAATTCAAGTTAGTTTCTTGATGAACGCGCTATTAAATTGAATTGAGACCGCTATCAAAATTGAGGTGATTAATTTAATAATAATGATAATAATAAAAAGATGAAAAATGAGTTTTCTTGATTGAAAGAAACTCTTTCTTTACCTTAAAGAGATAAAAAAATAATTTCTTTATTTCAGAAACGGTTCAAGATTTTTCAAATCATAAACTCAAACGACTTATTATATATAGAATCAAATATTAATATATACGTATATGCATGCTAACATTGTATTCTCCACCAAGAAAACCTCATTCAAAATGCTATGAATTAAATCTCCAAAAATAACTCAAACCATCCACCGCAAATATTTATAGGGTATCTTTTTACTATATACATTAAAAAAGTAAAATATTTATGAACGTGGTCGTGTCAAATTTTAAAATATCTAAATTTGTATTTTATTATTATTAAAAAAGTGAAATAATTTTAAAAAAATAAATTCAAGCCAAACAAACTTTAAAATCTTCGTATAAAACTCAACCGAGTTCTCAAAAATAGCATAATTTAAATTAGAAGAATTTAATAATACTTTGATTTAAGGCAAAGCAGAGGAAGTGGAAAGTATTAGTATGGAACAATGAATTGTATATTACTCTCTCTTCTTCCAGAAGCTTGAATTCAGTTCCTTGTGTTTGCAATGTGTTTTATTCATGGATCATCTGATTTATATTTTATGAGTTAACATTCATCTGCATATATGCTGTGGTATTTGATTTATCTACGGGATCCGGATATGCATTCCCCAAAGTAGTAAAATGACCTTTGCAAGTTGCAAACCAATGCTACAATATGTAGCTATGTTACTTTTTTTGTTTCATTTCTTTAAATCATCCTTGTTCGATTTTCGTCCGACATAATCAAACGTCTGTGTCCGACATCGATGTTTAAAGGTGCTGAGGAGAAATACCAACATCAAGTTCACTGTCATTTGCTCATCAATAAAATGGTAAATCTCACGAGATTCCTTTTCCTTTAATCAACATTGGAAATTTAACAACGTATCGACTGTGTAACAACAGCAATTTTACAACTTTTCCCTGAATGAATCAAAAACCATAAAAACGATATTCCTCTACAACCAAGAGCTGGGAATGATAAAGACCAATCAGTAACTTATTGGAGTTTCAAAGTTTTGACTAAATCCAGCAGCTGTTGCCTGTTCGTAGGAAAATGCAGTTTCCCAGGCTTCAAGGTAAAGAAAGAATTGAATCCAAGGCACAAAATCCATGGCATCATATGCTACCATATGGCCCCAGACGTACCTACCTCTCTGAACATTGTTGCTGTCCTCGCGATAAAGGTAACAAAATATACATCGATCGCATACATATTGTATTCCTAGGATCTCTCATTTGCTTTGTTTCTTGGCTTCACTGTAGAGTATAACCCCGAAGACCGTGAGTGCATAACCAAGCATTCCGGTGACGGAGACTGGGTTTCTAAAAATCAAAATTGAAACAATCACAGCTACAGCTCCTTTCGCTTTTCCTAGAACCTGCATGACAAAAACATCTCAGTAACTCAAAAAGCTTAAGACCCATGCTAAGAATTTTTTTATATACTTATGTGACTTCAACTTCATACAGCATAATTTGATCAATCCTTCCTAAGAAGTAATTAAAATGGGGAGGGAGGGAGAGTTGGAGATAAGAGAAGGCTTGAACAAGTATCACAAACGTCATACCTGTAAAGTCATGGCGCTGATGTGTTTTGTGACCAAAAAGTTGGTTAAATTCACAAAATATGATAGTGCTGAATTGAATAGTAGATACCAAAGGATCTTGGTGTCGTCTCTTGCGAGGGCAAGGGTAATACTGACCACATTTTCTTCCATAATGAGTGTTGCAGGAAGTAAAAATACAACGATTATTGGCGCCATGTAGAGGAAGAGGTTCATGGAATTAAACTTCTCCCTAAAACAAAGTCAACAAGACAAGGAGAATATAAAAAAATATTCCATCAACCACAAAGCATAAGCATAGGCATATAAACATTCCTTACCCTTCAGAAGAAAGCAAAATTCCTTGCAACAGTGACATGAGAGCTCTTGCCGCCGTAACTGAAATGCACATGATAAAACCGAATAGATAGAAACTCGGTTCACCCTATGGTCATGTAAGAAGAATGGAAACTAACAATCAGAAATCACATTAAGCAAATGAACTATAATATTGTGAATAATGCATAACACAAATTTTAAAAAAAATTAAAAGAGAAAACAAAAAAGTTTCAGGGTTTTTCAATCAAATAGAGCAGCAAAATTTCAGACTATACACTTCTAAATGCCACAACTACAACATACAATATGAGAACTGCAAGCATAAGGTGGAAAGATTAAACTTATAAGGATTGATGAACAATAAGCAATAAGTTAATGATTTAATCATTGATAATCCACAAGCTGCGATCATTACATTGAAAAATCTCCAAACTAAGCAAAAAAAACTGGGAATTCATGTGAGTTCCAACCAGACCCGTATTTGAGTATGGACAAGAGAGGCACTTGTTCAGGCCCCTCTTGGCCGGGGCCCATAATTGAGAAATTCATATATAATTAAAAAATAATAAATTATTTGTTTAGTCACTCATCTATTATTTTATTTTTGTTTTGGTTATTCAATTATTTTTTTTAAAATATACTTAACGTTAAATTTAAATTTTATTGGTTATTCATCATTAAAAAATAAAGAATGATATTGATATGATATTTTTAAATTATTTTTCGCTTTTCATTAAAATTATATATATATATATATATATATATATTTTGCTATTAGGGATGCACTTTGAGCAACTGTTCATGTCCCTCATTTTGTATAGTGCTCCTAATTTTTTTATAATATTGTTTATTTTTATAATTTAAACCTTTAAATTTTTTTAATTTTAGTTTTTTATACTTATAATTGAGGTCCCTAAATTTTGTAATCCTACTTTTTATCTTTATAATGAAGGTCCTTAATTTTTTTTCAATCCCATTTTTTTACATTTATAATTGATGATCTTAAGTTTTTTAATCCCACCTTGTACCTTTATAATTAAGCTCATGCTTTTTTCAATATCACTTTTTACCTTTATAATTGAGGCCCCTAATTTTTTTTAATCCCATTTTTTATTCATATAATTTAGACCCCTATTTTTTTCATCATCACTTTTTACGTTTAAAATTGATGCCCTTATTTTTTTAATATTACTTTTTACCTTTATAATTGGGGTCCCTAATTTTTTCAATCATACTTTTTACTTTTATAATTTAAGCCCCTAATTTAATCATTTTTATACGATTTATTAACATAATATTAAATTAATTATTCAAAGTATTAGAATATATTTTTTATTTTATAAGAGTCTATCTTTTAGTTTCGCTCATGGTCCCGAAAATATTTGAGATAACTATATATTTATTAGATGATTTATTAAACATACTAAAAAACAATTTACAAACAATTTTTTTTTTACTCTTAAAATTTAATTTTTTTCTATACTTATTATTAGAGGTCTAATTTTTATATTCACCCCGATCACAAAAATCTAAGAAATTTAAAATCTCTCAGGCGACGGCAACTAAATAGAGCTTAAAGCGAATTCTTCAATTCATCATTCTAACTTCAACGTACCGCAATCCTAACTATTAATGGATTATCTATGCTACAGCAATCAAGATAAAATTTTCTACATTCCAATCAAATCCCCTACGAAAAGGCTATCATTGCCACAAAACAAGAAAAATATAGAACGGACAAAAATTTGCAGAATAACCAACAGTAGAATTCAACTTTGTAAAGCAAAACCAGCTTCCACATTCCAACAAAATGAAGGCAATCCATTTCCTTAAAAACAGCTAATAGTTTCAAAAACAAAAAGAAAGTAAACAAAATGCATACCCCACTGGCAATGATAACCCTGTAACAACATGGACAAGGGTAAGATTAGGACTGTAAAATCAGGTAATCGGACATGTTTCAGTCGGATCCTGGCAGGTTGGGTAAAATCGGGTACAGGTAAAGTCAGGTCAATTTGATGGTTTGACTCGGATCAGGTCAGGTATAGGTCAAATCAGTTTGGATCATTTTCAGGTTGATTTGACACCAGATCGGGTTCAGGTCGGGTCATTTTCAGTTCGGATCGATGTCAGTTCAGGTCAAAATAATTCAAGTTCGAAGCAGATAAAGACTAGGTTAATTCAGGTTTAGGTGGATTTCAGTCGGATCTCGTTTAGATCGGGTCACATCATTGACAGATAAAATTCAGGTCGGATGTTTACCGGATACAGATTGAGTTCAGGTCGGGTCGTTTTTATTTTTGGATTAATTATTTTGTCATCTTTTGTGATTGTTGAATTGCAAGTTGTAATTGTATATGATTTCGATTAAATTACAAAAAAAATCATGGATCAATTTTGTAAATATATAAATTTAATGACAAAATTGAAGAAATGTAAAATTACAAAATAAATTTTTAAAATACAAATTAAAAAACACATAGGTAAGGGACTAAATCGAAATAAATTTAAAATGTGAGATTAAAATTAATATAAAAAGGACTAAATTATACCCATTTAAAAAGTTATAGGTCAGTTACAAAAATATAAAGAGAAAATAACCTCAGTGACCAAAAATGCCTTATAATATACGATTTTAACCAACTTTTTTTGGATTTGCCAAAATGACCAACTAAATCACAATGCGATCGATAATTCGCAACGCGATCTCCGGTATCGCAAATCAGTTTCCAGATTCGTAACGCGATTCTGACTATCGCATTGCGATTTCCCAAATTCACGTTGTGATTTTCCTAATTCGCAATACGTAAATCGCAACGCGATTACGTAAATCGCAACGCTAATACGTAAATCGCAACGCGATTTACATAGCGCCATTCATATTAACGTGTATTTTTTTTTCAAATTCCAAACACGAATATATTAATATATCGGAACACTGAACCGTCCACAGTATATCCCGTAATCACAACTCATAATCTAAAACCCTAAATCACAACTCAGTCTCATCTCCATCTCTCACTCTCTAAGGCGACATCCGTCCCCATCTCCGACGAAATCAGTCCCCACGACGATAACAATCTCCATCTCCGGCGAAATCATTCACGGTCAGAAATGGAAAATCAACCAAATCAACCACCGAGTGTTAGTTTTTTTAATTATTTTTATTTTGAAATTTTTGCATTATTATTAGGTTTTTCATATTGAAATTGATGATAAGTTTACTGGTGTTTTCAATAATAGATTAACCATTTCACTTAGATTGCTTATTATATTCATTTGATTGCTGCCAATACTGCTAAACTGTTTAGTCTTTAACCCTGTGAAGTTAGTATTTGTCTTTGTTTTGTCTTTTGGTTGAAGTAATGCAATCCATTCAAGTTTCTTTCAATTTTAGTATTTGAAAACGAGAATGACTATCGCAACGCGAAAATGACTATCGCAATGCGAATTTGACTATCGCAACGAGAGAATCGCAATGCGATTTTCATTTCGCGTTACGATTCTTGCGTTGCGATAGTCAAATTCAAGTTGCGATAGTCATTTTCGTGTTGCGATTTTCATTTTTGTGTTGCGATTTAAAGTTTCAGAAACTATTCTTCTTCTGCAAATTGAAACTTGAATGAATTGCATTACTTCAACCAAAAAACAAATACTAAATTCACATTGTTGCAAATTTAAGTTTGAAGAATAAACTACTACTCTTTATTGTTCATATCTTCACAGTGTAGTTTTTGGTATATCTAAATTGGTATGTTTATTGTTTTTGCAGAACTTTTATTCGGCTCAATTGACCTTAAGAAATAAAGTAAGCCTGGCCAAAACAATTGCGTCGAAGCTTTCACCTGCACAAAGAAAAATATTTGAGGATACTTGCTTCGGGCCATGGCTGAAAGTACAACATCCAGGTGGAGATGTTATGTTGACCCATCTGTTTCTTCAAACCATGACTAGCGATCTACCAGAGACTATACAACGTCGTGATGAAGAGATATGGTTTGATTTTCCACCGGCGTATACGTGTTTTGGGCGGGAGGAGTTTTGCTTAATCACCGGTCTACGCTTCGGACACGATGATGTAGATCGGTACACTAGACATATTACCCGCCTATCATGGTTTTCCCAGGTTTTTCCTGAGCAGTCAACGGACAAGTCGAATTTACACGTGGAAGACTTGACAAGATTATTGAATAAGAAAGATGGTTTTACTCGGATGGATGACGTCGATGTTTTCCGAGTATGCCTTCTAATACTTTTGCAAGCCGGCTTTTTAGGCAGAGAGGCCCGACAACCTATTCCTAATGATCTAATTAAATTGGTAGAGGACCTAAATGCATGGAACCTATTTCCGTGGGGTTCGTATCTATAGAGAGCTACATGGAATAAGTTTTCGTCTGCCTTTAATGATCGGAAAAGTTTGCGTGGCGATGGTTCCAAATACACTTTGTCAGGCTTTATTTGGGCCTTTAAGGTAATAATTTTTATATAATGTTTCCAAAATTATAATTAATTCTTTAACAATTACTAATGTTTGTTATTATATTGTTTGTAGTTTGGATATTTGAGGCCTTTCCCGCCATGCAGACATATGCATTAAAAACTTCTAATGATATTCCTAGGGCTATTTCCTAGAAGAGGAAACGGTCCTTGCAGCAATGGGAAGATTTACTACCGTATACTACAATAAATAATGTAAGTTAACACAAATACTACCATATGTTTATAAACAAGTTATTACTAGTACACGTTTAACTTTGTTTGAGCTTTTATATTGTTAGGAGGCCAACACTCAATTACAGAGGTTGACACCCACGAAAGCTGAGCTTGCCACTGATTGGTGGCAAGCTAG